ACTGGGAGTGTTCAGCACTCCCGCTACTCAGACTCCTGAGTTTCAAACTGGATATGAAAAATAAATTACCTAAAGTTTGCCTTACAGAGTAGAACTGCCAGGGAAAAGGGTTATTTGGTGGTCAGGGGAATGCAAGGAGCCTTGACAGAAAGCTTTTCATGGCTATATACTTCACCTAGAAGCAGTGGCTTCAAGCTCAACTTGGTCAAAGAGCCTAGAGTAACTCTACCATGCACAGGACCTGCACCTTCTGACTTGGAGAGTAGCAGCAAAGAGGGGGTTACAGCCTTGGCAATACTGGATTGTTTTTGTGATTTTATGCAGATGAAAGAATGAACTGAAATTCTTCCCTTGGGTGATGGGTGTATGGCAGAAGATGATAGGTCTTTGATGCTACATGTGACATTGGGAAAGACGAGGAAGGAAGAAGAATTGGAGTTGATGTTCTCATGCAGGATCATTTATCTGTGGAGTTATTGTATGCCTTTAATGGAATACACATGTGCATTAGGCCCCACGCTTTCAGTATGTACTGCAAGTTTGATGATTTCAAAGTACAGATACATGGGGCTTATGAAGCACGTTAAGACCAGTAAACTGGTCAGGGTTTCCAACACAGCATCATTTGGACATCGAATACCTTAAAACTCCAGACAAATGTCAATGAAATAAAATATCTCATCCCATTCCAATGGCTCAACTTATTACTGGGAACAAGGGTTTTGCATGTCCTTGCATGCAACTCGGGAAGCAAGGAAACACTACGACTACCTACATCCATTCACGAGTCCTAAAACATAGACTGTCAGCTACATCTTTCATTCCCCCTTGTCCCTCCTTTCCCTTTCCCAATAATCCCCTCAAAACATTCAGCACAAAGTGACATATCCTTCTTTTTGGTAACTTAAAATGAAAAGTGAGGGACAACTCTAACTATGAGATTTCTCTTTGCCATATGTGAGCTTAAGTTTGAAGTGGGTACACTGCAAACACAAAGGAGTGAGGTTTGGAAACCACCTGAGGGTAAATGGTTGTGAACCTCTGTAATGCATCATTACATGTTTCATGTACTTTTCACCTCAACCTTGGCAGGTTTATTACCACCAAGAGTTTTCCCATTTCAGAAAACAGCTCCTTCACCTTGCCATGTTAACAGCTCCTTTCACCTTGCTGCTCCCAGTTTTGTGTCATCTTATGGTTTGCCCCAACCCACATTATTTTTAAAAAGCAGCAATACTTAAAAAACAAAACAAACAAACAAAACCAAACAAAACCAAAACAAAGCAAACAAAAACCCAAACCAAACCAAACCAAACCAAAAAAAAAACCACCACAAAAGCATAGTAACATCACAAATGATAACAAGGATATGAACTTGCCCTTCCTTTATTTCTGTTCAAATCAAGCAATAAGAACAGTGGAAACTAAGTCCTGTAATTCTCAAATGCAGATCAAAACAAACCCTGACTTACTAGAATTTCTCTGGTAGTTATATTGCAACTTCCTTCTCCATTATAACAAGAGAAAAAGAAGAGCCCTCTGACACACTCTGCCTTCAGAAAGCCACCCCGAGTGAGTTATATTTGCTGGTAAATAACCACATTCTCAGACAACACTGTTTTTTAAAATAAAATATATTAAAAGGAACAGGAAAAAAACACAAAAAATAGCAGAACTTACATAAGCAACAATAAATCATCTATGTCTCTCAGCCAAGCTGAAGATGAGACCAACCTGGTATTAAAGCAAGACTTCCAAAACTGTACTCTTAATGTTTAAAATTTTAAAGTAGAATCAACATCCTACTGCCAACAGAACATTTTCTATTTCTTTATTCTGTCAAAATTGCCTTTCAAAAATATTTTGAAACAGTAAGATAACTCTTATCCTTTAAATACAGTCACCCCCTCACACACACTCTTTGCAAAATCAGAAGAAAATATTAAACATACAAACCGAAAATGTTGATAATAGCTGCTCTTAGCTTTGTTTCTGTTAATAGTTATGCCTCAAGTTTAAGACCTTTCTGAGCTGAAAGATCTTTTACTTAAAGTACAGTAAGTTTTACCACAGCAACAACAGTGAGAAAACAGTGTCCTTATTGTGAAGACAACATTTCATCATTTTCAGGTCTAGTTACAAAGTACTTTGAAACACCACATTAACAACTTAAATTCCTAACAAAAATCTTTTTGTAATAAATACAAGATTACAAATATTTTTCACTAAACACTTGTTCTAGGTACCAAAATGAAGATAAAAAGGTTAATTTTCAGAAATCGCATGTTACCTAACAGGAAACTTTAAAAAAAAAAAAAAAAAAAAGGAAAGAAAAAAATTGTTAAAAAAAACCCTCAAGCTTCAGGTCCCCCAATTTTTTCTAAGTTAAATTCATCAAAACTGAAATATCAAATTACAGTCTTGGTCAAAGGATAATGACTCATTCTTTTTTTTTCCTGTCTTCATATGTGTAGATATCACTATATTCACTAAAACAACCAATTATAGATCACATAACTATGTCGCCTCTGAGCCAAAAGGAAATTCATTCACCAATTTTTGTTTTTCCTGTCCTTCAGCACAGAGTAAGTTACACTTAATTAGTCAGTCTTGGAGATGACAGAGCACCCAGTTCTCTTGCACATATTTGTATAAAGTAAGACTTCAGAGTCAAATGGAAAGTTTGCTTCTTCTTCTTTAAACTGTAACCATTAATGTAATTTACTCTATACCAAATAGCAGCAGCCCCTGAATCTAATTTCTGGGCCCTGAGTTAATTTGTAGAAATAAACATAGCTGAAAGTGGCAGCTGGGTAAAAAATGAGAGATACATTATTTTGAGTGACAGCAGTAATTAAAAATTGGAATAGCATGAAGTCCATCTTTATAAAGCATTGGAATAAATCAGTTAATGAAGCTATCTTTTTCCTAATTACAAATTAACTTATTTTACTTCTAAATTACTTTGAACAACTACATCTTGTATGATCTTCTAATGAAAGAGAAAGCTTCACAGAGTCACAGAATATGCCGAGTTGGAAGGGATCCACAAGGATTGAGTCCAGCTCCTGGCCTTGCACAGAACCATCGTCAAGAGTCACACCATGTGCCTGAGAGTATCATCCAAATGCTTCTTGAACTCTGTCAGGCTTGGGGCTGTGACCACTTCCTCAGGAAGCCTTTTCTAGTACCCAACCACCCTCTGGGTGAAGAACCTCTTTCTAATATCCAACCTAAACCTCTCCTGACACAATTTCAGGCCATTCCCTTAGGTTCTGTCACTGGCCACCACAGAGAAGAGATCAGTGCCTGCTCCTCCTCTTCCTCTCATGAGGAAGTTGTAACTGCAATGAGGTTTCCCCTCAGTCTCCTCTTCTCCAGGCTGAACACACCAAGTGACCTCAGCCATTCCTCATACAGCTTCCCCTCAAGGCCCTTTGCCATCTTTGTGCCCTCCTTTGGACGCTCTCTAAGAGCTTAATATCTTTCTTATATTGCTGTGACCAAAACTGCACACAACATTCAAGGTGAGGTCATAACAGTGCACAGCAGAGTGGGACAATCCCCTCCCTCGACTGGGAGGTGATGCTTTGCCTGATGCCACCCGGCACAGGGTTGGCCCTCCTGGCTGCCAGGGCACTGCTGACTCATATTCAACTTGCCATAGACCAGGACCCCCAGGTCCCTTTCCATGGCACTGCTTTCCAGCATCTCATTCCCCAGTCTGTTCGGACATCCAGGGTTGCCCCATCCCAGGCGCAGAATCCAGCACTTTCCCTTGTTGAACTTCACATGATTGGTGGTTGCCCAGTTCTCTCATTTGTCAAGGTCTCTCTGCAGGTCCTCCCTGCCTTCGAGGGAGTCAACAGCTGCTCCCAGTTTTGTGTCATCTTCAAACTTGCTTAGTATCCCTTCCAGTCCTGCATCCAAGTCATTTATGAAGATGTTGAAGAGATGGAGGCCCTGTGAAACCCCACTAGTGAGAGGTTATCCCATTCACTATTACTGTCTGTGTTCTACCTGTGAGCCAACTGCTCACCCACTGCTTTGGAAGATTTTTGTTGTTGTTCCTATAAAATCCTAGTTTCAAGTGAAATTCATTACACTGATGTGGAAACACACTGATCTCTTTACATTTTTAACATAGAGACAAGGCTGCACAGTCATCTGCTCTGGCTTGACACAACACAGGACAGCTTCACTGTAATGTTCACACACTGACTCCACTGCTTCAACTCAAACATGCCTTTTACAACTAAAAGGCTTAAACAATTAACACTTAAAGGCTTGAACAATGAAGAATCTTTGTGAACTTATGCTTTGACTCCCAGATTTTCATTACTATTTTCATTACTATTTTACAAAGGTGATTCAAAATACAGTAGTACTGCATAAAAACACTGAAGGCACTTGACTAACTGAATGAAGTCAAAGCTCTCTGCTTACCTTTTCAAGGTAACGTTTGGTAACTGTTTAACAACCCAGTTATCAGTGGATTTAACTCTTCAGACTGCCTCAAATTTAAACAAAATAATCATTGCTATTTGCTCTTCTTAATAGTGTGAAGTAAAAAAACAACCACCAAACTCTCAGCTGTGTCCATGTAATTTATATGCTCTTGTCTCCCACACTTCATCCACTGATTTTAACAAAGGTCTTAAAGCTTGTCTTAAAGCAAATAAACTGTGATATTTTTAAGACCACAGTAATTGATATCTTATCCTGGATGAAGCCTCGAAATTTTCAGGCTACAAAGGGCACTGGAACTCAGTTCCAATAACAGCGTCCATTTCTTTCTCATGCCACAAACAAAGTAAATCACCTCAGATGAAGGAAGGTTTAAGTGTTGTATAATGCAAGAAGACTAAATGGGGGTGGGGATGGCAGAAAGCTTCTCTGCTGTTTTTTCCAAGAGAAAGGCAACGAAGTCTATATATTGACATTGACCAATTGAAAACATTTATGAAAAACTTTGGTTCTTAATTTACAAAGATACCTACCCCTATAATACTCAAGCCTTTCAGGTAGTCCTGACGAGGTTGGGCTTGTGGCACACAGCCTGCTACAACGACTTTCTTCTTCCCTTCTTGGGCTTTCCTAAAGAAGGACAAAGAGTGTGTTAATAGTTTCTGAAAATTATCATTTTCAACTTCAAAGTAGTTATATTATGCATGTGACACAGGAAAGAGCAACTGCGGTGAAAACATTTCAAAATCAGAAGCAACTTGTACGTGTTTGAACCTCAGAAACCAAACAGATCAACACATGAAAAAACTATATGAAGCTCTCAGGCTACAGCACTCACGGTTCAATTTGGGGAGTATCTACAGAGAACATAACCACTGCATATCTTGGACAAAAATACAATCTTGAAAGTTCAGTTAACCTTTATTTGCCACAATGACAGCAGAGAAACTGGTCAAGAAATATGGGGCAGAGATATTAACCTTGATTCAAGAAAAGTTACACAGAATGCAAGGGACAGCCTATGCAGACAGGAAGCTCTAGCTCAGAACAGACCCATTTATGTAGTACCAGTCAGAGTTTACCAGTTACATCAGTCTTCTGATGTTCACTTAAAATGTTTATTTACTTTAAAATACGCAGTTACTTAGAAACATTTAAGCATATTGAGCACTTTCAAACCTTAAGTGCTTGCCTCTGGCAGAGAAGCATTTGACTGGATATTAACGTACATAACTCCTTAGCTTTGATGCTACCTTAGCATCAAGTAAGAAACCAAAACTCTAAGATTAAATGGTTAGTGTTCATTTCATTAGTAACATTTTGACTCATTTTGAATTCAACACTGAATATCAAGCCTTGGAGGTAATGGAAGCCCTGAACAGAACTAGTGGCTGTATACGAAACACTGAGATGCAGAACCTGCTTATGTTAGTTAACTTTGAAGATCATCCATTAGCACATTAACCCAACACGACTACTGCATTATAATGTGAAAAACATTAAAGAAGAGAAGCACTGAATAATTTTACCAGACTTGCTAGGTCTAACATATTACGGGGTTGCTCCAAGAACAATCTTTCACAGTTGCATGTTGTATCACAATCTCCCGACAGACTTCTGTCAAACTGGAACCTTGTAAATCCATATTTTCTCCAGCAATGTATGAACTCATGAAGTGTTTACCGTTATGCTGGAATAGGCTACGACACGTCATAACACTTTTTAGAAAAATTATCCAAAAGACACAATTACTCAGACAATTTTATACTCTTCAGCTTGGTTGAGCTGTCTCCAAGCTGAATGCACTAGAGAAAGTGATGTTCAACAAGCACACGGATGCTACATGAGTATCTGTAGGTCCTCAGCAAAGGCAAGTTCAACCAAAGAAAAACAAACACCAAAACAAAACAAACAAAAAAAAACCAACCACAAGAAACCCCAAGCTCAAAACAGACTAGTACCACACAGAGTTACGCTACTCACAGTTTTCACTTCACACTTACAAACAAATCTATTTACAAATTATAGCTCAAAATGAAATCTCACAATATTACACAAATTGTAATAATAAAGGAGATCACAGGCCATTTTGCCAAATACCTCATAGTGGCTGCTGCACTAAAATGAAGTATTTTAAAGGAAAAAAATAAATATCCTACACAAACACAAGTGTAAAATAACAAGAAAATGGATTATGGCTATTACCTCTATCCAATATAAATGCAGCAAATCTCTGTAAAGCATCCAATTTTGTTTTAGTGGACTTTCAGGAAATCTTCAAACATCCATCATACAGAACCTCACTGGTCCTCTACTTGGATGCTAAGTTGTATAATATGATTGCAAATTTTATTTCACCTCTTTCTTACTCATATTTCTGTGGATAAACAACTACGATGAAGCACTAATTTAGTATTCTTCTTAGGCATGGAACATTTCTTAGGCAGCAACATGTCACCAAAGTCTGCAATCCCTCTTTTCTTTCAGTGGTATATATTTAAGGGTTTTGCAATACTTCAGTGAAGGTTACCTACTACATACCCATGAAAAAATAAACAAAACAAAACAAAACAAAAAAATTGTACTTCATGTATTACCTAAAAATGTCACATAGCACCATGTGACACTCCACTAACTCAAAGGATAAAAATCACTACTTATATAGTTTTACAGACTCAGCCTAGTGCCTGGAGGCAAGACAATAAGCCCTGTCTCCAGCAAACAAAGCACATGTCCCTAGGCAACTCAGCATCTGGTATAATCTGCTGCTAGCAACAGCCGTCTCCATCTACTTGAAAATCTGTGAGCACTACAGAAGAAAAAGCTTGCATTCAAGTCTTTTTATCGGAGAAAAAAAAATAAACAAAGTTTCCCCTGGCACATTAAATGGCATTTTAATGTTATTTCACAGCTTTAACATTTTGCCATATCTTCTGGGACTATAACTAGAGCTAGGGGGGAAAAGTTAAAATGAATATTCTTCATAATAAGCATTGCCTGCATTTAACTTTTTTAAAGTTGCACAGGTCTCTACAGAATAAAGAATTTTGTACATTGAGATTTTTTCCTTTAAAATGCAATTAAGTGGACATGCCAGAACTAAATTTTCAATCATAGCCAATTTTCATTACATCTATAATACACCATACAATACATGAAAACCATCATAAATGAAAAACCCTTGTAAGGAAATGATGAATTTTTTTGCCTCATTTTCAAGAAACCACTTCTCAAAATATGCATTTCACTACTATATTGTCACTTCCTTTTAATATTGTTTAATAAGCTCTGTTCATATTAACAAAAGTCTACAAAAATTATTCTTCAGAAATCTAGTTAGCACAAGAACTGTATTAGAAGAGCCTTTATCCCTCCAGAACATGAATAGTAATGAGAATAATACCTCATGGAATCTGGTAGGTGGCATGAATAAAAACATCTTCTCTTTTAGAACCCTTTATATTTTTCAGTTACATGAACCTTACCTTGAACTTTCAATTTAATTGATTCAGGAAACATCTTTTAGAAATACACTCTTCTCTAAAAAACTACTTGCAAGATATATATCTGAATAGAAATTTAATCAGAGCAATTATTTTTTTAAGAAAGGAATTATTCAAGCTACTTCCTAAGTAAAAAAAACAAGTGAGAAACAACAGGGGCATGAAGTACTGCATACAGTAGAGGACTCATATAAGATCACAGATTATACTCCATTGCATAGAAACAGCCATTGCAACTATAATTGTACTATCAGACTTAATGGAATATGTTCAATTTATTCTGCCTGTTACAAAGCAAACTTAAAAATGTAACTAGAGAATTCCTGTCTTGCTTATGTGCACTTTCATTTATGCTGTTAGGAACCTGCTCAAACTGGAACATTCTGCTCACAATTTTACATAACATGTTGTTGCATTGATCCTCTATTTTTTAGTTTTCAAGCTCCAAGAAAATTTGGCCAGTAATATGACAAAGATAAAGAAACACCTGTCATCCTCAAAAAAAGCACCCCCTAAGTGTTTGCTACATCCGCACTGTGTGTACAGCAACAGCACTGGATACCATGGCAGCCAGTGTAGGAAGCTGTTCCACTTTTTCATGACTCATACAGTTACTCAGGTTGAAACACCACAATAAAAAGTTAGGGACCTTTCCCCGAGGTTCAAATCTGAGGAAGTCAACAAAAAAGTGGAAGCAGAGAAGATGGGCCAAGTTCAACAGAAGACAATCTGTGACACTGAAAGTAATTGATAACTTGCTCTTTGCTGGAGAGACAAGAGAAGCCAGATCACCACCACTCACCTGCTCACTTCCCTTTCCATAAGCAGAGCTGCCCACTGGACACTCATAAGCTGTGAACTATTAAGTGAGTAACTCAGAGCTTTCAGAGAGCCATCACTACCACCCACCAAAGTATTCCAGCTGCACAGGAAGGCTTAGCTGGCCTCTGAAATCAAAAGCAGTCTGGTCTGCAGTGAGGCAAGCTGACTGGTCAGCATGAAACAGGCAATTTGTTAAGTGCTGCTCTAGTACCAGATATGTGAAACCAAATATTATGCCTACAATCTCAAATTTTTTTCCTCCAAAACCCATTGTTGGTAGAATTAAATCATGAAAAAGTGTATAAACAATGAGCAGAAGGTTGCTGGTAGCAAGACAGGTAACAGTCAAATACAAATAAGAGTGGAATTTTCAGCAAAAGCAATACAATAAGGGGGAATGTGCTTTACAGTGAGCTTGTTAAGCTTTGCATTGATAGTAGTTGGGAAATGTTTAAAAATAATAAGAGGAACTATTTCTAATGCTAAAGTACAGCAAGAAGTAATTTTGTTATCTGAAATGAAAAAGGAATTATTTCAACCTGAATCCAGGAGATGACAATTGACCATACTCTCAAGTAAGTTTTTACACCAATCAACTATCCCTACCAAACACAGTACTCATCTCCTCACTGTTGTACCTGCACAAACCTGGTAACTTTCACATAACATGAATAGTTAAACTGACCTGTGCAATGCATCAGAGTAGTCTATTCATGCCATTGTCAGGGCCTCCTATTACACAAAATATACAACACTCCTTATCAGGTATTTTAGAAAGGTGTGAAGCCATAAATCAACAGGACGTTTGTGTCTAGAAATGCCCAAAGAAATATTAGTATACATGAAAAAGTTCTGCTACAGCAGCTCTAGCTGAATGCAGGATTAGCTGGGTATATGAGATCAGGCTGTCAAACATTATAAAAAGTAAAACTGAGGAGATACTACTTCCCTCCAGAAATGGTGTTGTGATGTCTCTGGGGAAATTGAAATGCTATTAGGCTAAAGATGCAAGTATGTGAAAGATCTTCCAACCATCACATCTACTGAATTAACCAGCAGAAAGCCACAGGTTTTAAAGAGAGCACAACACCCCTGGAATGAAAAGATGGTGCCTGTATAGAATTTGGAATACATTGCTGAAAGTCCATAAAATCACACAGCTATTTTCTGTTTGAAAGATTACAAATTGCAACTTAAATCGTAGCTTTACAGGCTTTGAGCCAATTTAATGTCTCATTAGTATCCAAAGGCTTGCATCCCATCCTCTCTGTCTGCTGCTGCTAACTCCTACCTTTCTCCATCTTC